TGGCTCCCCCCCCCGCCAACCCTCCCCCCCCCCCCCCCCCCCCCCCCCGACGGCTAGGAAGGGAGTGCTGCAGGGCAGGGATGTGGCTGCAGGGCTTCTGAGTTGATGTATTTTTGGCCCTTTTTAAAGCACAGGACAAAGCCATCAGCAGCTGCCCTTTTTCCACCGTGCTCGGCATTTTGTCCCAGGTAAAGCTTTGCAGTAAGAGGGGCGTTCCCTTATGGCAAAGACCAAGAGAAATCAATATAGAAGAAGCTAAATTTTAAGGCTAATGGAAGAAAACAACCAAGATTTCAGTGCCAATGTACAGTAGGGCTCAAAGCTCGCCGTTTCTCCTTTCTCAGCAAGGGCTGTTAGAGGCTAAAGCCATTTCTGAAGGATGCTATTTCACTTCTATAACATCCTGATGACTTGATGCCTCTTTAAGTGACTTTTCTGCATGGGAGGATCCCGTTGGAGTTATTGAGGAAAACCTGTGGATTGCCCTTGGATTTATCATTGCGCTGCTTTGGCCCTCCAAGAGAAAATCTCCTTAAAACTGATGCTTTCTCCTGGAGACTCAGCCTTTCCATTGCACTTGACGGCATTTTGGCCTGGGGAAGGGAATTAGTTAATCTTCTCATTTCTCTGGCTGTTTCAGCTAAAATATTTCCACGCCCAGCCAGGACTGCTCCACCTCTGCCAGCCATAGTCTGAGGTTATAAAGATCAATGGTCAGGCTTTGCCAAAAAAGAAGAGAGAATCATGAGAACACATATTTTAACAGTCTTTTCTTTCTTTCTTTCTTCTCTTCTTTCTTTTTTTACTTTAATATTTGCCCTTGCAGGTGGTTTCCCCTTGTATGTATCAAGCTCCTTGCTGCAGCTTGATAACTAAAGCTCCAGCCCCAAGGTACCTAAACAGGCTTTTTTTCCATAGAAATCACTTTTGCCTCCTCACAGCTGCCCTCTAAGAAATGATAACTCTCTGGGACGCTGTCGTAATCCCTCATAGCAGCAGGGTATGATTTTCCAGACAGAAAATTAAGCGCTACTAATCCTGAGGAGAAGAAGGAGGAGGAGGAGGAGGAGGAAAGCAGTGGCATACGAAGGGGCAGAGCTCCTGATCTCCAGCACCAGCAGCACATCTCCAGGGTTGGATCTGATGGGGCTGATGCAGAACATGCTGCTTGTCCCTAGGGATGCCCCATTCCAAGCTGCTGCTGGCATCCGTGCGAAGCAGAGCCAACGGACCCGTGCCAGGAGAAAGCCTGGGCACATGAGAGTGGGTTTGCCGTGTCCAAAACCTGCCTGTGTTTCTTCTGCAAGTCCCAAGCACGGTCCGTGCTCGGGCCAAACCGCTTCTGCACAAAGCTCTGCTGCTCCCCGTTAGCTAACGAGCAAAAATACATCCCAAGAAACCGCAGCCTATGCGACCCCACAGAAGAGGAGACCACAGTCCGACAAGGCAGGCGCGGGTGCAGGGGGACCCGGGCGGCACAGCCGGCGGGACCGGTGCTCTCCATCGCCCCAGCCCTACCTGGAGCAGAAAGTCGAAGAGGGCCAGGCGGCTCCACTCGCCGCGCGCGATGCTGGAGCAGGGGCCATCCCTGCCTGCCGGTGTCGGTCTGTGGGGCCGCAGCATCTCCTGGTACTGCAGCCACCCCAGGGCGCAGGAGTTCTGGTCGTTGTTGGCGTCCTCCAGGTGCCGGAGGTCGGGCGCCCACCAGATGATGGGTCGCAGGGAGCCATCGGTGTAGCTGTAGGGCAGGAGGTGGCTGGTGAAGCGCCGGGCCACGGCGGGCAGGCTGCGGTTCAGACCCAGCACCCTGTCCAGGTGGAAGGCCAGCACCTCGTAGAGGTCCCCGGGACGCTTGATGAGCCCGCAGCGCCCGTCCCAGCAGTCCCCCTCCGGGCTGGCTGGCGAGGCGTCCCCCTCGGCATCCCCCACGGCCCGCAGCCCCACTCGCAGGACTTGCCCGTGGGCCGGGACACGGGTTTTGGAAACCACCTGCCCGCCGGCCAGCAGCCGCATCTTCTGGAGGTCGTCGTCGGAGAGCCACGGGGGAGCATCCCCCAGCACCCCCCGCTGCCGCCTCCTGCCCCGGCCAGGGGGGTGGTCCCGCTGCAGGAGAGTGGGGGGTACGGGGAGCCTTTGGCTGCGGGCTCGTCCCCTGGACAAGGGGGCGGCCACCTCCCGCCGGGGGCCTGGTGGGGAGGATGCTGGCAGCGGGTGGGGGGG